TGGAGTACATCCCCTTATCTCCTCCAACACAACACAATGCATATAAACAACAATTATACACATCATCACACAATACATAAATTTAATGTATTCTTTCAATCGTCAATCTCAATGACACATTCCAGTGATTAGTTACAGTTTGCCTAATCATCATGCATTGTCTACAACAATCACGACTATCCTCCACCGATAGCCCAAAGCAGTTTATTCTATACAGAAATAAATGCAACAATGGATATTTAATCAACATTTCAATTAGGTGAGCGATAAACAATCCAACTACACCTTTAACCCCATACATTCCCAATCTCAACAATTCCACTTCATTTCCTCTTTTCTCACAATTAATTATCCCAATTAATCAAACAATGTAATTAGGTCATTTTCCATAATTAACATTTCAACCTTAGGTCCCATTTTCATCAATGATTCAACATTTATTTCCATTTCTCTATGCCAAACATACATCTAGGTTTATTATAAATAAAACCCCAACTTTTGTTAAAAATAACACAAAACCCCAAACCCTCACAAAATTACCAAACCAACCCCAACATCTCAAAATACTAAAATTTAGAGACAAAATCCATAGAGAGGAGTAGGATATCCCTACCTCAAATTCGGAGCTCCAAGGGAGAAGATGACAAAACCAACGTGCTCCAAATCCCGAAATTTTCAGATTAAAATGTAGCCCTCGACGATCAACAACTTTTTTGTAAAGGCCAAAGATGAGCAAATCACTCACTAGATCAAAACTGGAGAGAAGGTAGAGTTCTAGAGTGAGAGGCTCAACAATGGTGTTTTTGGAAAAGTAAGAGAGAGAAGAGAAAGTGAAAAAGTGATTTGAAAAGTCAAAACACGGAACTTAAACCCAGTCGCCACTACACCTTAATGATCTATTTGGAAATTAAATAAAAAAGTAAATTCAATAGAAAAGGAAATTGAATAAAAATGGAAGTTGAATAAAAATAAAAATGGAAGTTGCTGAAAATTAAAAATGTCACTCCTACTAGATCAAAACTTGGAGAGAAGGTAGAGTTCTAGAGTGAGAGGCTCAACAATGGTGTTTTTGGAAAAGTAGGAGAGAGAAGAGAAAGTGAAAAAGTGATTTGAAAAGTCAAAACACGGAACTTAAACCCAGTCGCCCCGCTCGAGAGTCAAACACCCCGCTCGAGCGTCACTCACAGACTCCCGCTCGAGCGTCAACCATCCCGCTCGAGCGGCGGATGCACACTCCCAGAACTTTTACAGAGCCAGGTCTCCGCTCGAGCTTCCAACTCCCCGCTCAAGCGACACTCACACAACTCCGCTCGAGCGGCCAACACCACGCTCGAGCGTCCAACACAGCACAAGAAATACTGGATGGGTGCAATTCCCGCTCGAGCGCCAAAACCCCCGCTCGAGCGGACAGGTCAAAATCTGGGCAACTTGTTTTGGTTTCTAAACTTAACCAACCTGTAACAAACCTGCCCAACACATCCCATAACTCAACTACAAAGTAAAAAGGATGTAAACAAGATAATAATCAACTACCAACCTCCACGGACACATGTCCGGATCACTGTACAACAAGGATAAATCCGGGATCGCTATAGGATTGCATTGAGAACTTTGTGGCGTGTTACTTGTTATTCTTAGTACCTAGATTATAATGATGATTATGTTGTTGTTTGATTTAAGTGGAGAATGTCATTTGTTATGT